GGGACGTTTTCTCTCAGCCGGGTGGGGACAGAGTTTTTAGCAGGGCCTGTCGCGACAGGACGAGGGGTGATGGTTTTAAACTGGAAGAGAGTAGATTTAGACTGGGTATAAGGAAGATACTTTTTGCAGTGAGGGTGGTGAAACACTGGAACGGGCTGCCCGGAGAGGTGGTGGAGGCCCCATCCCTGGAAACACTCAAGGCCAGGTTGGACGGGGCTCTGAGCAACGTGGTCCAGTTGAAGATGTCCCTGCTCACGGCAGGGGGTTGGGCTAGGTGACCCTTAAAGGTCCTTTCCAACCCAAACCGTTCCATGATTCTCTGTGGATATTTCCTGTAGTTCAGTCACGCCCCAGTACCGAGATGCTGTCAAGCCAAAGGTAATTCGAGCGAGGTCTTGGGCAAGCATCGGCTCTGCTGGGCTGTGAGATGTGTCTTAAGCCTGGTGAAACAGCGGCTCAGCTCTGTGAGTGGCTTGGGGGGGAAAGGCATCTCAGAGCTTGTTTCTCAGTGTACTCTTTTTTTTTTTTTTGAATTTTTGTCTTAAAGTATCAAACAGTGCAAACTCAGTTTGAGCATTAAAAAGTAAAGCTGTTTAACTTACGAATGTTACTTATAAAGCTTCTGGGAGACTGCTTTTCCCTGTGTTGTCTTCGGTAGGTAGACTAGTTAAAACCTCCAGCAGAACTCATTTTCCTTTTGTTAATTATAATTGAAAATGCAAAAAAATACTATCTGAAGTAAATGGATATGTGAAAGCACAAAAGATCAGTAAGTTGTACTTTTATTACATGCTGATGTGCAGTTGTCGTGCCTATGTTGCTTAGTGTCAAAGGCTTTTTTTTAAGAAGTTGCTCCAGTTTTTTAAACAAACAAACCGACAATGCCACCCTGGCGCTTGGGTGGAAAATGACATACACAGTTGGTTTAATAGGGTGTACTTGGAGACAAAACTGAAGAACTACCTAAAGTTGATCTTATGTGGGCAAGAGAGAGAAACTGTCAAAAAAAAAAAAAAAAAAAAAAAAAAAAAAGAGACAGACTGGACTAACAAGCTTGTCCAGGCTTCTCATTTTGAATTACACATGTTCTGTGCATACTAGTTTTATAGCTTCGGTGGAGTTGGTGCATGCTGGTATCTCAAACGCAACTTTGGAGGTGTATACCAGAAACAAAAAAGTAATAGTTCTGCTGAACGTACTGATAAAGGATATTTGGAGCGATTTCCAGTGTGAATAGGATGGACTGGAGAATATGTTTTGTCTAGTGAAGGTGAACATTGGAAGAAGAGATTTTCTTGGCTTTCTGTTCTGAAGTGCTGTCACACGCTGGAAAACGTCCGTGGAGATGTGTTTCTGGTCTGTTTTGTCCTCAGAAGTATAATTAAGACTGAGTAGCTAGAGACAGAGACAGTGTTTTAACAAGGAGGCAACCATCTTTACCTTCAGCTGAGTGGTGAAAGAATGCAAGCATGGCTTGGTGCTGATGGGACGTTTTGATTGCTTGCCACACAGTTTAGTTGATAAGCTTAAGACTCTTGTTTGCGTTGGCCTACCCATTTTATTTTTAACAAATCAGCAATATCACTGCACTAACTGACTTGGCTAAGTCCAGTCCTTTATTCAAACTTAGTTAATTCCACTTGCACTGGGTAAGTGCAAGGATACTAAAGGACTTTGCACTGATTGAACCTCCTAACTGTGGTTGTAATGCACTGCTGGATGTCTGTGCATGCTCAGTGCAGTTTTGCTTAGCAGTTTATGATGCTTTTGTTTTGCACCAGTGGTCCTGGTATGACACTTGTGTTCACTGAAGTGCTGTAAGATTTAAACTGGGCAAAAGATAGCAAGCTCCCAGAACTCTTCTGACTTGAGTTCCCTGGGAGGATTTTGAGTTCGTGTCAAAATAACTGACCATGGACTCCCTTCAGCAAACCGGTTTCTGTAGCTTTCTAAGAAGCTGCCTTTATCTCTTTCTGGGGGTGCCCCATACGAGAAAAAAACATGGGATTTCCCTTAGTAAATAACCTCAACTCAGCCTGGCATCATCTATACACTTTACAGTGTTTTCCTATTCCAGTTTTTGAATTTTGCTGTTACCTGATTTGTATGATCTCGGAGCCGTAGCAGGATAATTTAATTTTACCCATGCTGCTGAGGAGCCTTGAGCTGGATCAGTTAATAGTGTCTACTTTAACTTCAGTTAGGCATTTTAAAACCATTTCATTGCTATGCTGTGTGGCAGGGCTCTGTTTGCATGCGTACGTTCTGCTTGTTAGCTGCGCAGGAGTTTTGGGTATTACAAGTCAGTTTGCTCCATTGCAATGTTCTCTGGGATCCAAATCCTCCACAGTTCCTTCTATATGTTGTCTTGCATGAAGATTACAGCTATTTTTGTTTGTAGATACTCTGTGTGGTAAGCAAAAGTAACGGCAATTTAATTTCTCGCACTGTTTCTTTTATCCTCCCACTAAGCCAATCTAGATTTCTGTGTTTTGAAATATTTTGATACAGAATAACTTAACTAACATAAAATAAGTACATTTTCCGCTTAGACAGCAAGGAATACTTTCTTGCCAAGACTATGATACATAAATAATTTATTAAAAGCATAAAAGAGACGAGGAAGCATGGCTGGTTTTCAATATGAGACCAGTATCTGACTAGCATAGTGCATTTGTTTATGGTAATTTTGAGCTTGTGAACTATGAATGTCTGTATTTCCACAACAAATGATTCTGCCTTGGGCTGCAAAAGTGTACAGTGTATTTATGCTTATTTGGAGCTTTGCCCCACCTGGATGGCCCTGCTGCTTACAGAGGGGAAGAACATGCATGGTTGTCTTCTCCCTTTCCGATTCCCTTGGCTGTACTAGAGAAGTGAGAGGATTCCTGTTGTTAGAATTTAACTGAGAACAGTTACG